CTGTTTGTATGTTTGTTTTGTCCTATTCTGATTTGTTTGTTTTGGGTTTTTTTTTTTGGTTTGGCTTTTTGTTTTGTTTGTTTTCTAAATGAGAGAAAGAAAGGGTGTAGATTTTGGTGAGTGGGAAGGTGGGGAGGATCTGGAAGGGGTTGGGGTAGGGGAACCATGATCCCAATATATTGTATGGAAAAAAATCTATTTTCAATTTAAAAAGAGAGAGAGAAAAAACTAAGTTCAACTTCATTAGTCACTAAAAACTAAAAATCAAACAACAAAGAGCTATCACTAGACAGCATAATGAGTAGTGTGAAAGAATAATAAACATCAAGCATTGATAAGATGTAGAGCAGATGAGCTTTGGCATGGTATCAATGTGAATGTAAATTAAACCTTGAGACTCCGAAATTTCACTCAGAAAAGTACATATATGTGAAAACATGTACATTTGTAGGAGTGTAGTTATAACAAGCAGGAAGCAATTCGACTTCCCATTCAACAAAGGGTAAGTAGTAAGTCATGATCTGTTGCTACAGCAGTGAAAACTGACACACCCCAGCACACAGCACCATGGTGGAACTCAGAAATACAATGCTGAATGGGGGAAAAAAAACTACATTATAGTGAAGGGTTACAGAGAGGTCCTTACAGCAGACAGAACTAACAACCTGTTAAAAATCCTGTCTCGAAAAAAAAAAAAAAAAAAGAAAAAGAAAAAGAAATCAACTGAGTGACTCCCTTGGGCAGAGGTGGGGACCCTGCCGGGACAGAAGCTGTCCCAGATGGACTCCTTGAGTATAGAGAACAGTTTATTTCTCAGTTGGGTTTGCTAACAGCTTGCTCTGGACTTGGATCGCCGTGCTGATGTGAAGGATGAAGCTTGCTGCACACTGTCTGTGCTTTTGTCTCTTTAGCGTGTCTAGATATGAGACAAACAGGAGAGCACCCCCCTTGTTTCCAGCACTCTGGCAAGTCAGAGTGAAGTGTGGGTGACTGGTGTTGCTATCTGAAGTCTTGAAGCATTGATTCATAAAGCCAATAGGCTGGAAGGATTTCAGGAGACTTCTTTGATACTTTTCTCCATTTCCCACAATGCTATTGATGTATTAAGGGGGTTTTCTCCAATCACTTTTGACAAATTGTGTTACCTTGGACAGTTATTCACTCTACCTCATGCAAAATTCATTTTCACGATATTCAAATGTTTCATTAAGTTATCTTTTTATATTCACTGTATCTATATCAGAAGATTTAGCTCCCTTTTTAATTCTAACGCATTGTAAGGGTGTTTGTTTCTGCTTCCCCTGGCTACTTAGTCATTTACTTACTTTAAAGACATCACGCCTTATTTCTGCGTGGTGTCTGAAGTACCTCACAGCTTTTGTCGGCAAAGGGGCTGTTCCAGGGTGTTGACTTGAGGGCAGTTTGAGAGCAGCTCCTCGCTTCCCCGGGTTCTAAACTTACAGCCTTTCCTTGTCCACAGGGTGAATGCTGGGAAGTTAGAATAAGTAAAGTAGTTTAGGGACTGGTCCTGGTGCATGGAGACGGAATCTGTTCCCAGAGCACCACGCTTCCACATAAATTAGATAAAAACCATCAGATTCAAAATCTTCTGTGACTGTTTCTAGAATTGATAGGCATTACATAACCAGGTGGTAAAACTTACATTAAACCATATCATGAAATATTTATTCTAATTGTAGTAACTTCTCATCCGGTTGTGTCTTTTACTCACAAAATAACCCACTAGTATTTTAACAAAAAGCTTTAGTTGTTGGTCATTTCAGACTATTCAAGGTGTACCTAAAGTTTTCAAAATGATGTATACAGTCAGAGGAGAGATGGTTATTCCTGAAGGGCTCTGGTGGGCCTGAGAATGGCAAACATGGCTTGGGCAGGTCTTGCCTCCCCTCTTCCCTCTTCCTCACTAAACCCTGAGCTAGTCACTAAGGTCCGTTCCCTTGTTTGACCACTTTCTCTTCCTGAGGCTGACCACCAAGGTCCAGCCATCAAAACGCTATACTGACCAAGCCTGTCTGATCAAAATTAACCAGCTCATCCTAACACAGGGTTCCCCCCATTTCCCTTTATAAAATGTTTGCCTGTGGGCCATGTCTGTCTCATCTCCATTCAGAGGCAGTCCATTGTCCCTCCAGGGCCTTCCCCTGTCCCCTTGTTTCCTTCCCCTTCTCCCTCATCCTCTATCTCCTGTCTTTGCCTCTTATCTCTGTCCTCTGTCCCTCTGGGGCAAATAAATCTCCTTTGTGCTGAGAACTTGGTTTTGGAGTGTCCTCTGCCAACTCTGGTCCTTTCAATTCCTGTATACATTATTTATTTTTAAACAGTAACTATTCTGACATTTACTTTTTTTTTTTAATTTTGCAATTACATTCTTTTCCAGTAAAATATATTTTGAAAATACTTCCAATTCCTTTTTCCTTTCAGTCCATTATTTTGTGTGTGTGTGTGTGTGTGTGTGTGTGTGTGTGTGTGTGTGTCCCAATAAAGTCTTAGAAAGTCTAAGAAGTTATTTAGACTGGGCGGTGGTGGTGCACTCCTTTAATCCCAGCACTTGGGAGGCAGAGCCAGGCGGATCTCTGTGAGTTCGAGGCCAGCCTGGTCTACAGAATGAGATCCAGGACAGGCACCAAAACTACACAGAGAAATCCTGTCTCGAAAAAAACAAAAAACAAACAAACAAACAAAGTTATTTAATTGAATTTATTGAAAGAAACAGACGTGGCTGCTCCCGGGGTTAAGGAGAAACCTTACAAGGTCTTAGTTACAGCAGTTTGCTCCATTGCTGATATAATTGTGTTGAATCTGTAGTCTCGATGTTCTTCTTCCTGAGCTCAATAGACTCAGGAGAGAATTCAAATGATGAAAATTAGTTCAAATGTTCACTGCTGGGCTTAAAGAGGGAGGATGGATGGAATCTGAGCTTCTAGAGAGAAGCAAGTTCCTCATGGTTGTTACAGTACATCACATAGAGTGAGCAAGAAGGCATTTCCCAAAATGAAGATGCAGTGTTGGCCACGAAGGGTAAGAGAGTTTATGTAAAAACTACTTCTTTTCCTTTTTCATGAGGACTACAACTAGTTCTTCCTAGGTCAGGTGTTTAAGTAAATGAAGTAAGGGTGTTTTCTTTTTGCACACCTTGTTTTTCTGAGCGCTACTACAGTTCTCAGGATCTGGCATCTGACACCATGTGATGTCAGGTGGTACAGCTGAATAATTCTTTTAAGTGACTCAAGTGTGAGGAGAGAGATCATATCCATCAGTGGGGGAATGTGGAGTGGCTTTCCTCAGTCTGTGTTGAAAACACTTTTATAATGGCCATATCTTGTTGTTTTTTGTGGGGAAGGGGAGGTTAAGACACAAAGTCTCCCTCTGTAGCCCAAGCTATCTGACACCTGGTCCTGACTCCTCACTCTCCCGAGTGCCAAGATGGCCATGTGTGCTCTCAGGCCTGGCTTGCTTTTTGGAAACCAGGGAAAGTGGAGGTCGGAGTACAACTCAGCTGTTGCTCCTCGGGAATGATCCACCGCTTTTGTTTTTGTTTGAGACAGAATCTCTCACTGTTCTAGCAATCACAAAGTAGAACAGCCTGGTTAGCCTGTGAGTTCCAAAGATCTGCAAGCTTCTTCCTCCCCAGCACTGTGGTTACAAGCACATGCCATCATGCTCAGCATTTAGCAATTTTTATATGGCTTCTAGGGAATCTAAGTTCCAATGTTTGTCTAGCAAGTACTTTACTATCTCTCCAGCAGCCCCGCCTCTTTGCTTGTTTGTTTGTTTTTTGTTTTTCGAGACAGGGTTTCTCTGTATAGCTTTGTGCCTTTCCTGGAACTCACTCTGTAGCCCAGGCTGGTCTCAAACTCACAGAGTTCTGCCTGGCTCTGCCTCCCAGGTGTTGGGATTAAAAGGCGTGGGCCTGGCCAGTTTGCTTTCTTGTTCTTGTTCTTTTGTTCTAGTTCTAGTTCTAGTTCTAGTTCTAGTTCTAGTTCTAGTTCTAGTTCTAGTTCTTCTCCTTCTCCTTCTTCTTCTCCTCCTCCTCCTCCTCCTTCTCCTCCTTCTCCTTCTTTTTGGTTTTTCGAGACAGGGTTTCTCTGTGTAGCTTTGCACCTTTCCTGGAACTTGCTTTGCAGCCCAGGCTGGCCTCGAACTCACAGAGATCCGCCTGGCTCTGCCTCCCTAGTGCTGGGATTAAAGGCATGTGCCACCACTGCCCGGCTTCCCTGCCTCTTTTGATATGTGACTCCAGCTCCAGAAAGCACCTCTAGTCTTAACAGTGAATCACCTTTAATGGTCCAGCTTTATGCACTCACATGTAACCCTATATCACCTGGGGGACTATCAGAAAAAACAAATAAACAAAAAAACAAAACCAACATGCCATAAATGTAGGGAGAAAGACACAGAGGAGTGAAGAAGCCGAATGCCACAAAAATCAATAAACAACATCATCACCTAGAACTCTGGCGTATGAAAATTGTTATTTGCGAATAACTGTTTAGACAATGTAGACAGTGGCATACACAGATCTTGGCACATGGAATTTTCATGTCAGTGAGTTCATTGGCCTCACATTCAGAGAAATGAATTAAAACACATCCAAGAGGCTCAGGATGCTGGTGTAGAATACTACTTATAACTCTGGTACAATGAAATCGAGGAACATTTTCCTCTTGAGCAGATGTGATCATTATGAACATATTTTTCTGAAGTTGTTACCAAGTTTTGCACTGGCTTCCCTTTGATCAGAACTGCCCTGCCTCGGTGTGCATGCATGGTACACAGGCCCACCATGTCCTAGTGCACATGCATGCTGAGCAGAAGAGCCAGCATGAGGTCAACCTCCGCTTCTCTTGCTGGTAGCCCCATTTCTTTCCTAGAATTAAGAAAATGCCAGCAGACCTGTCACAAGATTTCTGTAAACACAGTAAGGGCATTTGGAAAGGGCTGTTCTTAATTACACTCTGTACCTCCATCCACTAAGCACGGTTCTTTTGGTTTCCAGGTTACGGCTGCCTGGGAGGGAGCCTCACACCTTTAGAAAGCCCTGTGGATCTGACTGGCTTCTTTACTGTTGAATACTCCACACTGGACTTTCTCCACTACCGCCTGGTTTGTTTTCTCTTTGGGACCTGGCACTGATTCTGACATGACTGCTAACTCAGCAATCCAGGGTCATTGCCCTGTTGCCTCATGGGTAGGATGTCATCATGCCTGCCCTCCTCCCTCCTCCTTTAGACTTGGATATCAATATTCTTCCTCTCAGTCATTGTGGCTTTCTCTCGTCATGTCCTGTTGATGTCCCTCTAACTCCTATATGTGGACTACTTGTGCTTTTCCATATGTCCAGAAGAATCTGCAAACTCAAATTCTTTGTAAGCATCGAACCAGAGGACCTTTTCCTCTAGTCATAGTGTATAATCCCATCACCAAGTCAACACTCTAGTATATATATTTCCCGTCATACTTGTTTTTCTACCTGGAAAACCGTGAAGAAAACCTTTGGTCCCGTTGAAAATCCTTTGCAATGTTCCCAGGCAGAATCACTCACCCAGTATCCTATTTCCACTTTTTATCTTAAAGCCCTGTACCTTTCTTTGTTCTGCCTGTGTATAATCTCTCTGAAAGTAGTAGAATAAGAGGAAATAGCTGACATGAGCATACCAATCGATGTAAAACCAGCAATAGACCCAGCAGCATCGCATAAGGAGTGAATAGAAGCTAGCTAACTGGAGTGGCTGTTAGCAAGCACACCACAAGCCAGGGAAATGGCTCTGTGGGTAAAGCTTCTACCTCCTGAGTTCTACCCCCAGGACCCATGCTAAGGGGGGAGAAGAATATCGACTGCACAGAGTTACCCTCGGACCTACACGTGCATGCTGTGGCAGGTACACGCCACACCCCATATTACACACTACTAATAAATAAAAATTGCAAAAGTCTTAATACATGAGTTATGTAGGAAGCAGAGCCGAGCTGTAAACCTCAAGGGCAGTCAGTCCCTCCATTCTTCACTTCTTGCACTGAACCCCACCTTCTGAAAGTCCCACAGCCTCCCAAAACATCACCACCATCTGGGGACGGAGTGCTCAAACTCGGGAGGTTGGCGGGGGCACATCACACATTCACTGTCACAAGAGATGACATGGGGTGATGTTTTCAGTCAGAAGCTTCCCGCATGTTCTCTTCCCCCACTTTCGTAAGGCTTGATGCCTTCTAGACAGGAAGTGCTGCATTACCCAGCGTCCAGCACAAAGATGAGGTAGAAAGGAAGCAGCCGCTGACCCTTGGTCATAGTCTGTGAAATGGATACTTGTGAGGCCCTCATTTCTGTAGGTTGTTTTTCTCATTGTCGTATAATCTGCATGAATACTATGAAAAGTCCTACCCTAGGACAAACGTGAGTGTACAAACTTAGATGAGTCATATTCAGGGTCAGTCAGTGTGCAGAGCAACTTGGAAAGAAGAAATAAACCTTATGAGAATCTTTTCTTTTGAGCATACAAAATAACAAGTTCCGTATGACATTTTCATTTGTATATATTTTATACTCGTTCTTATGAGTGTCTTCATTTTGATGAAGTGGTTGGGATTAATATGTTGGGCTGAGCCTCTTTCTTGTTTTTTATTGTTTTTTTATTTTTTTTTTATTTTTGAAGGTCTTGCTTTGTATCCCAGGCTGACCTTTAACCTATTATCCTAATGTGTCTGCCTTCAGAATAAGGAACTTGCAGGCATGTGTTACCATGCCCAATTTCAAATTTAGCTTTGTATTTGACATTTAATTCCTCAGTCTATTTTGAGCTCCTTTTGTTTGTGTGGTACCAAAGTTCAAAGCCAAGGCCTCTCCATGCTAAGCAAGTGCTCTGGTGCTAAGGCATGCCACCAGCCCTGACAGGCTGCTTTCACTGCTACTGGTTAGGCCTCAATGACGACAAGACTATGAGAAACCAGTGAATAATGGCCAGCTTGGGGATCTTTATACTTACATGTTTGAAAGGCAATGCTTCCTCTCTATTTAGAAAGGACTTCTTTAAAAAAGCTAAAATTCATTTTCATGACAAGAACCATTGAAAGCTATTCTACAATCCATAACACCTTAAGAATGCTGCCTGAAAGTCACCTCTGTTCCTCAGTTTTCTCGTCTGTCACATCAGATGGAGACGTTAGAAGACATAATGGATGAGTAAATCTATATATGGACAGTACCATGAACTGGATGTTCACTGTTTTGATGCAATGTTACATTGATTTCTCTCTTTGCTGTTAAAATGCATTGTAAGCATCCTTGCATGTATTTCAGCATACATTTGTACACGTGATACTTCAAGTGAAAAATTAAAGGTTTGAACTTCTGCCAAACTGCTGTCCACTGAGAATGATAAAAAAAAAAAAACTTGCATATACATCAATAATGCTTTTGTTTCACTGCTTATTTGCCTACATTCTTTTTAAAAGATTTTATTTTTTTTTGTTGTTGTTGTTTGGAGTTGTGAGTGTGTGTGTGCGCGTGCGCATGCACATGTGCACACGTGAGCATGCACTCATGTACATCAAGGTGCCCACAGAAGCCAGAAGAGGGTATTCTGTTCCCTGGAGTTGGAGTTACAGGTATCTATGGGTCATTAGCATTGGGGCGCTGGGAACCAAACTATAGTCCTCTGCAAGAGCAGCAAGCTGAACTGCTGAGCCATCGGCCAGCCCTGTTGTGGACATTCTTAGCATTGCTACAAAGCTTTGAAATGTCTGAAATCATGACGGTGAAAATGAGCTTGCTATTTTCTCTTACTATACATTAAATTAAATATACTTCTGAGTGGCAGATTTTCTGAGTCTCTCTTTAAGCATGTGTTTATGTGTTTATTTCACCCTTACCCTTGAAGTCACTTAATTGTGCAGAGAATTCTAGATTGCAAAGTGTTTCGCATTCTCATGTTTGAGATATTATTCTATGGTTCTGGCCTCTTTTGTTGATGAAGGTGAGAATCACAAAGGTAATTCATGGTACACATTGAAAGAGAAATAACCACATGCATCTTAGCAATTTCTAAATGCATGTGTGGTAATAATTAATTACAAATAAATAAAAAGTATTTATTTTTAATTAGAGCCTGTTGGTAACATGGGAGCAATGTATACAAAATAGAGCTATTATACATGCTAAAATAAAACCTACAATAATCATTATGGGTTCCTTTTTTAAATAGCTTGACTATTAATGCATGTTGATATGACTTAACTAAGGAAAAGAGCACAGAGAAATACTCATATGTTTTATGTAGCAGATTGGCTCTGTCACAGCACCCAAGCAACTGCCCAGCTCCGCACATGAACAAACCACACCTACTTTGTGCTACCCAATAGTAGGATGCCCTGTAGTCTTCCCTGGAGCAGAAGGGGCAGGCTTGTGGAGAACTTTCCAAGCGTATGCACCATCAGTCTGACATGCAGACAAAAGGATCTGTACTGTGGAAGGCTCCGACAGGAAGTGTGTCCCCACTGCCTGTGGCTTCAGGGAAAAAGATGACTCTCTTGCTTCACTCTGGTTTAGATTTGGCTTCTCAGTGACTCGTGAACCTACATCACATCCTTTATCATAGGAAATCTCAGTTCCTCCTATGACACAAACCAAACAGGATGCAACATTAAACTGATCTTGATTTGATTTATTTTCTATAAAAAGCAGTGGAATATGCTATGAGCTGAATGTTTGTGTTCTCCTTACACATCCATGCTACAATTTGGGAACCCAAAACATCTGTCTACAGTTCTAATCCCCCAAATACATAGTACAGTCCTAAACTCAAAACATCTGTGCCAGTTTTAATCCCCCAAATAGTCATGCCATAATCCTAACCCCCTAAACAGCCATGCTAAAGTCCAAATCCCTAAAACATCCATGGTACATTCCTAACCCAGAAAACATCCCTGTAACAATCCTAACCCCCAAATGTTCATGCCATGGTTCTGGTTCCCCCAAAACATCAGTGCTATAATCCCAGTCCCCAAAACGATAGTAACAGGAACCTGACCTTTGGGAGACATTTAAGCCATGAGTGCAGAGCCTATGAGAATACGAATCCTGGGCTTATCAAAAGTCCTGAGTGGTCCGGGATGTGCTGGAGTGCTTGTCTAGCATGCTTCAGTTCCTCCAGGTTTGAGTCTCAGCACTGCATAAACCAGGTAGGTGCTGCATGCCTGCAGTCCCAGCATGTGGGAGGGAGAGGCAGGAGGATCAGGACTCCAAAGTCACCCCAGCTACATGAAGGGTTGAAAAACATGAGACCTTGAGACAACAAAGAAAAGAATGAATTGGAAGATTTGCCGCCAATAAAGTGCAAGCAGAAAGGCACATTGATTAGGACTCTACTTTTAAAAGCTAAGGTGGGAGCCAGACATTGTGGCCCAAGCTTGTAACCTCTGATGGTGGAGAGCAGAAAGATCTTGAGTTCAAGGTCAGCCTGCACTACATCCAAGAAGATGTCTCTAGAAAAAAAAAAAAAAAAGAAAGAAAGAAAGAAAAGAAAAAGAAAAAAACATCTTGGTGTGTATTTGAATCCTGAAGAAAGGAAAGCTCTGGCCGAGAATGTCTACATGAGGGCATAGTTAGCAAGGAGGGTACTTACTGTAGATCCTTGTATTCAAATGGAGTCTCAAAAATAATGCTAACATCCTACTTGAACATACAGAAAAAGCTAGGTGTCAGGCAGGGTTTTGTTCATTTGGTTGGTTTGGGGTTTTGTGTGTGTGTGTGTGTGTGTGTGTGTGTGTGTGTGTGTGTGTGTGTGTTGCTGGGATACAGCCAATTTAAAAAACAACAACAATTAATTGCAAGTTTCAGCTTCAACATTAGAGGGTGCTATGCAGACAGACTCACCAAGTTTACTTTAGAGAATGCTATCCTGACTGACCGGCCAAGACCTTGGTCTGCAATTCCTGGTAAACTGCTTGCACCCGCTCCTCTTCAAGGGCAACTACTGTGGGCAGCTGTGCCCCAGTGTAATTGACAGCAGCCGTGTGGCAGGGCAGCATCCTGCCCAACATCCAGGCGGTGCTGATGCCCAAGGAGACCGAGCGCCACCGCTAGTAAAGCCCCACTGTGGATATACTTTTTAGAAAGAAAGGTTCCCAAGACCCAGCTGGGAGCCAAGCAGGGGTTCACAAACACTGTGTCTCAGGACTTCACACCCCACAACCTCTCTCCATTCCTTTCAGTAGTTACCATGACAGCCTCTTTGGTCTGTTTTCTGCAGAGTTACCTACAGGTAGTTTCCTAAAATTTTAGCATTGTATTTTCATGAATGCTGGGGTTTTGTGCAAGACAGTTTGGTGTGGTTTCCTATAAAGCACTTTAAGGCTTAGATTCTTTATTGGAAGTCAAGTTACAAAGAATTTTTTAAAAAATGTTAATATATTTCTTTCTCCAATTCTAAAAGATGTGTCTAATATTTTGTATTCAATGTGTTGAGACATTACTTGGTATTTAAATACTTTCATGTAAGCTGGTGCTGTGCACCAATTAGCTGTCAGTTCCTGCCAAGGCTTTGCCCAGGTGAATAAAAAGGTATGCTTTCTAGAATTAAAAAAAAAAAAAAAAAGTTTTGCAAAACAATTCTTATTGTGTAGGATGAACAATAGTAATCTATTCCATTCTACTTTAGCTTAAACCATTTGTGATTTATTTACTTAATTATTTATTCCCTTTTTTTTTTCTTTGATAACATCTCAACATATAACTCTGGCCTGGAACTCACAATGTAGTTCACTGGTCTCAAAAATGACATGAGAACCTGAATTCTGTGCTTATAATTCCCGCACTGGAAAGGATGAGATAAATGAATCCCTGCCTGCCTCTGCCTCCCTCTTAAGTGCTAGATTAAATGCATGGGACACCATGCCTGGCCTGTTAATTTATTTATAACATTCTTTCTGAGAGTGGTAACTTACAGAATGTACTGTGAGGAGGAGAGTAGCCGGTCAGTCAGAAGACTTGACTGCCCCATAGCCCAGCCATTGATTCAAGATGTGAAGAACATGCTGAGCCGAGCCAATAGGAGCCTGTCCTGGGATTTCTCAGACTTAGAACTTGAGCACAGCTGCTCCCCCTGGTGGAAAATGAGGTTTCAGTAGTGGCAGCAGATCTGTTCATGCTCTCTTAAGGATGGAGGGAAGTAGAAGCAGATGGTAAAAATCTGAGTCCGGCGGCTTGATACTGCGCTGGAAAAGGAGATTTAGTTCTCATCTCTTGGCCTCCAGGGCCATGTTTGTCTGTGTTGTCTGTCCTTCTGTGCCCTTTCACACACCCCCATCTTCACCTTTTCTCTTCCAAAGACGTTTGCCCCGACCTGTATGACTTTAGGGTTGATCTGTTAGGGCAAGGAGAAACCAAGAAATGACAGACACACATACCGAGAGGCTGGGGTCTCTGATGGAGATACACCAGCAGCGATGAAACTCATCATGTTTATCACAAATGGCTGGGGAGGAAGTGGGGAGCTAATCTTGGGAGGGTCTCTGGGGAGCTATCCCCAGCTGCAGTCATCAGTGAGGGGGGAGCTGTGGTGGTTACTTTCTACATACACTGTTTTAGAGCTAAAGATCTGCTGGTTATCAACATCAGGACCTGAAATAGAGAAGGGCTTACCATTCCCCGGATAGATAAGGCCTTGCCATTCACATGTGTCTGAGACAATGGGGTCCTTGACATGGCCAAGCTCATGTCATGAATGCTCATTCATATATGAGTATACTCACTTCCCCAAACATTTCATCTGGACTCCGATCATTTATAAACACAATCTGAAAAGAAGAAGCCACACCCAATAAGCACAATAAAAACTTAACCTTGTTGTATAGAGGCCTGTAAGTCCTAATCCTTTTTACTGGCTGGCCACAAAAGAGGTCAGTGATACCCATTGTCCTGATTTAGCAATAAGGAAGGAAAAAAAAAAAAAAACAAATCTGGATAGGTAAGGCAAGGCAAGTATCAACACATACTGATCCAAACCGAGACCTTTAATATAAATACTGGAACTTGAAAGAAGAAAATCAATCCTGAGGCAAACTTCTCATCTTCATAAAAATAGCACAGAGCCAAAGTGAAGACAGAAAGTAGGAGAGGGAGGGGAGAGAGAAAGGGGGATGATGGGGAGGGGTAGAGAGGGAGGAAGAAGTGGAGGAGGAAGGAGTATGTGGTGTTACATACCTTTAATCTCAGTGCTAGGGAAGAAGAGGCAGTCAGATCTGTGTGGGTTCAAGGCCAGCCTCAACTGCGAAGAGTCTTTCTGTCCTGTCTCCCCAAAACATTTAGAGGAGAAGGGAGTGGGCTGGAGGGGGAAGAGATGAATTATCCTTTGCATATTTCTTAAGTACTGAACTAAAATCGACCTATATTTTAAGGGACTAACACTGGGAATAATAAAATTGTTTTGTGGTCTGAGGAGATGGCTCAGTAGGTACAATCCTGCTGTGCAAGCATAAGAATCTGAGTTTCATCCCTAAAACTTATGTGAAAATATAAGGCACAGTGTTCTGTGCTTATAATTCCCGCACTGGAAAGGATGAGATGAATGAATCCCTGAAGCTTGCCATCAACCAACTTAGCCCATTGGGCAAATTCCAGAACAAAGAGAGACCTTGTCTCAAAAATAAGGTGGACGGTGTATCCTGGATAGTTTTGTGTCAACTTGACACAAGCTAGAGTCACTTAGGAAGAAAGACTCCCAGTTGAAAAAGTACCTCCAGGCTGGAGAGATGGCTTCGTGGTTAAGAGCACTGGTTGTTCTTCCAGAGGACCCTGGTTCAATTCCCAGTATGGTAACTGCCTGTCATTCCATTCCAGGGGATCTGGACTCTGCAGGCGCTGCACATGCTCCACATGCTGCATAGACACACATGCAGGCAACCAGTTACATCAAATAAAGATAAATAAATCAATTTTCAAAGGAAGAAAAGGTGCCTCCCTAAGATTTGGCTGTAAGTCTGTAGTGCATTTTTTAAATTACTGATTGATTCAGGAGGACCACCTCACTGTGGGCAGTGCCACCCTTGGGCAGGTAGTTTCAGGATGCTATAAGAAAGCAAGCTGGGCAAGCACCATGGGGAACAACACAGTAAACAGTGTTCCTCCAAGGCCTCTGCTTCAGTTCCTGCCTCCAGGTTCCTGCCTCCAGGTTCCTGCCTCCAGGTTCCTGCCAGGCCTGAGTTCCTGCCCTGACTTCCCTCAGAGATAGACTGTTACTTAGAAGTGTAGCAAAAATTAACCCTTTCCTCTCCAGGTTACTTTTGGTAATGGTGTTTTATCATAGCAATAGAAACCCTAACTAAGACACAATGCTTGAGGAATAGAATGACCTCTGGCCTACACACACACTCACACACACACACACACACACACACACACATGCATGCGTGTGTTCGAAAGAAGAGCAGAGTACCCAGATTCAACATGCTAACATCTTTTTCACTTCATCCAGCAGCACAGCCCACCTTTACCCTCCCTCTTCTCTCAAAGCATGCCTTAAGTGCAAAGAAAGTCACTAATTCACACCTAAGTAATAACTGACATTTCAGTTGTGGAATATATGCATCTATTTAGCAGCTCAGGCTTCCCAAATCAATTAACAAGGCCAACTCAATAGCCTCAAGAATAGACTGCCAAAATCAACAGAAAAGGTATGCCCTCAAATGGAAGAGCAATAATATAAATACTTAAATTTATGGATCCTGCTGAGAGAGGTGATACACACCTTTAATCCAGCACTTGGGTAGCAGAGGCAGGCAGACCTCTGTGAGTTTGAGGTCAGCCTGGTCTACATAGTAAACTCCAGGATAGCTGGTGCCACATAGTGAGACCCTGTCTCAAAATAAATAAATAATTAAACCTATGAATTCCATCAAAAATATTTATTGATATGTTTAAAACAAGTAGGTTCTCAGCCAGGCGGTGGTGGTGCACGCCTTTAATCCCAGCACTCAGGAGACAGAGACAGGCAGATCTCTGTGAGTTCAAGGCCAGCCTGGGCTACAGAGTGAGTTCCGGGAAAGGCACCAAAACTACACAAAGAAACCCTGTCTTGAAAAACCAAAAAAAAAAATAAATAAAAATAAGTAAATAAATAAATAAAACAAGTAGGTTCCCTACATACATGTATATAGGCAACACTAATTGGATTCATGAGGATATAAAGAAAGAAAAAAAGACATGATATTGGGGGGGGGACATGTTGGGAAGGAGGGTTCGGGGGAGCCAAAAGTGGGAAATGGTTGATGAATATGATTGTGGTGCACTGTATATGTGAATGAAGTTCTCCAAGGAGGGGTGGAGGAAAGGAAGAGAAAGGAAGTCTTATTTGACAGTCATGAAATCTTTCTACATTCCACATACCAACTTGGTTGTGTTTACTATTCTATGTGGAAACACTGAGCCCCTCCAGCTGTAAGTGCATCCTCAATTTTGTCTGCATCTTCTCCGAAGAGTGGGTTTGTCCCAGCTGTTTTTCTCTTCTCCCACACTGGAGGGAGCTTTGCCAGCTCAAGCTGAGTGGTCCTCGATGACCAGCACACTTCGCACAGAAACCGTGAAGTGCACCAGAAGAGAGCAAGTTTACGGAAGAGCAGGGAGGAGTGTTTGCAGCCCGGAAGCCAGCACAAGCGTGAACACGTGTGCATGACAGAAAATGCAAACAGCGAAGCAAAGCAGCAGAGATGACCTCCCGCTCCGAGCAGTGTGGCAACCAGTGAATGACGAGGTAATATTAGATCTGTGACCCTTGTCCGTGACCCAGTTCGTCATGGTGGACAAGGGGCAAAATCACAGTTTAACTTGATCATGGAGGCCAAAGCATCTGCCAGAAATCCTAATGAGGACTTGGGTGCTGAGTAGAGATGACACAGCATTTGGATTTGTGGCTTAGATTCTAAAGTTCCAGGGGATGTCCACTGCCATTGAGCCAAGCCTCTGTGTCAAGTGTCAGCTTTCTCGGTATGGTTGAGTCATCTGCGCATGGCTGAACTTTGTGAGTACTCAGGAACTGTCCTTCCTCTGTCAGGGCTTGGCCTAGCCCTCTAGGCTGGAGACAACTGGCTTTTGTGGTTGCCTTAACTGTGCACTGACGTCCTCTGAAACATTGGCCAGAATCAGAACCAGCATCCTGATGAGTTGTCATATGGATAATTAGTAAGGATAAATGTTCACAAAGCACTCCTCGGATATTCAAACTAAAGGTGGAGGGGGGGGGGGAATGCACTCTACTTGCTCTGAGAGTGCCCGTACCACCACAAAGCAATTTCAAGCTCGCCCAAGAGGAAAATATGTAATTTTTAAAAGGTGAGTATAACAATCTAAGTCAAGAAAATATCTCAATATGTATTCAAGTATCTAAAAATTAATTGTAGCGAGGAAATGTCTTGGGTCTATTTGTGAAGTCAAACCAAGTAGAATGTTAAGTTCATGGGGTTAAAATACATGAACATTTTAAAGTAAAGTTAAATATTAAATTGTGAAACTAAGCCACGTATTCCAACTTGGCTAATTTAGAGTTAGAAATACTTACATTCTAAAGTTGTTGATTACCCCACAGTACAGAGTTCTTTAAAATTGACTTGGAAAAATATTTTTACACAGGAGGTAAAACTTGTAAGATTCCACAGTGAACTTAGACAGTTGGGTTCTGGAACTGCGCAGATAACAGGGAACAGACCACCAAAGTCTGTAAACCAGAAGCAACTTTGTTAAAAGCACTGTGGGAGGAGGGGGACCAAAAACAAACAAACAAAAAAAACAACTTCCAACTAGTTAGGGGCCACAGAGAGTTATTTGGCTCTGTGACCCTGAGAAGGGACTACAGTGTCTTTTTAGAGTGAAAGGTTATATGCAGGGCAGAGAGGATATATTGGGATTTACTGCATTTTGGGCATCTTGGTGTCTTGGCGTCTAGGGTTTTTATGGCCTCTGATTACAGGGTATTAGTACAAGATGTTTACATAGCCTGGGTGTGTTCTAACTGCTTTCTCCTATGTGGGAGAATGTAGAACAAAGGGTCAGGTAGCTTGTTTTAAGGCCATTATCAGGCTATAGGCATACATTTTTTTTTTCATATTCCTGGGCTCTTCAATATTTTTCTATACTTAAATTTTAGACATGTACATAGAATGTCTCTGTACTTCTTTCTCTTATAAAGAAAACAAACTCTCAGGAAAACTCTTATCCCCCAAGATATAGACCTCTTGAATTATTTATCTCAATGGCAGATCCAGTACCTCCAAGTTCTCAGTCAGTACTTCCCACTATTGAGAAGTGGTTTGTCCTCTTACGATACTTATAATCAAACACAAAATCAGAGGAGATCTTTCTAGATCATAAAGTAGGACAGGACTTAAAGTCACAATGAAGATGAACTGCCAGGGCAGCTTAATGCCTGCAGATTATTACTATTATTACTACTATTATTATTATTTTGTGTGGATGAGCCTGACATCAGCATTCAATCTGAGTCATAAACCTAGGGCCCTCTGGAAAGCTGAACATTATCTACCTACAGAGTAAAGTGGGTTTGAAGCATTAGCTCACTCATGAGACAAGGACAAACTCATGCTTCACCAGCTTGGAAGACAGTGAGGATGTTTTATACTTCCATGGTATTGGCAGAAGTCAACCAGAGAAATGAGCAAGCTTGGCTTCTGATGGGCTGCTGTGGCTGTTCCAAATTCATCCTGGGTTGGAAGTCAGTGTTGAGACCCCTCAAAAAGCTAGACATGTATCTGCCATATGATCCAGCTTGAACACTTGCTGAGAATACTCTCAAGGGACTCTATATCCTACTATAGATTTACTTGCTCATCCGTGTTCATTGCTCTTCTGTTCACAACAGCCAAGAAATGAAAACAGCCTAGATGTCCATCAACTAATGAAAGTATAATAACGATATGACACATCGACCCAATAGAATATTATTTGCTAAAGACCCACTCCAGCGAGGCTCAGGTCCCACTGAGGATGTGTGAAGTCTGAGGGCTGGGGTTTGGGGAGAGGGGATGACATCCAGAATCTGAGGGTGAATCAGGATGGCTACCCAGGAGTTTATTGAAAAAGGCTATACCTTTACATACTCAACAGGTTAGCCACAGGCTAGGTTGAAAGCAGATTCAATGATTCAGGGACAGAAAGTGGCCATTAGCTTCATTATACTATTTTTCCTGTGACAACATTGATAAGATCAGCAAGTATCTAAATGTCTATTGTTCTCAAAGGTTCAGTAACTACCAGGAGCCCTCTTACATCAATGGAAGGTCCACAGTTCCTCCTGCCAGAGATAAGGAGAAAGGCTACTTTTAGCAAGCAGGAACTTTCCTCAAGGCCCTGAGGGAATGGAGGCCCTTATCCAAATGCCTGGCCTTGGGAAAAGGACTTCTGGGGACCAGACTCTCCACTACAATCTAAGAGCAATTTTCATTCCTCCAGGGGCACGATACAGCATAGCGCTGAGCTGTTCCCTAACTGTGTTCCTTTGTGTCTTCTGTGTGGGCCTGTTCCCCTCCTGCACTCCCCAAGAGAAGGTCCCGATGTCTTACTCTTTCCCGCTATTCGGTACCATTCTGATTGCTCTATACTTATTAACTGAACTCTTGTCCCTAATGGCCTCGGGCTCTGGATCTGGATTGTACACTTTTCATCCTTGGGGTCAAGTGTGCCAGTTAGTAAATCTCTTACTTCCAGTTCTTGGTGTAATCAAGGGGCACAATGGGATTCTTTTGTGCAGAGTCATCATGCTATATGGTGGTAGAGATTTTTTTCCTAAGAATTATTTTGTTTAAAGAGGCTGCCGTTTTATATATTTTCAGCCTTCAAAGTCTGCACAAAATTTCCCAAAGGAAAAGGCATAAGAGAACTCTCATAACATATGCTGAAAATCATTAAAAATGAAAGAAAAAAGGTGCTGGAGAATTGTGATCCGAAAACTTGAAAAAGTTGAAATGCTGGAACTTGGTCAAGCAGCAAAGGTCTATGCCAGTTTTCCAACCATAAAGAAAAATACAACTGTGAAATTAGCAGATTCGTGCATTTCTCAACCCTCATCAGAAAAGCTCCTTTTTACAATATAAGGTGATTAATACAGAGACCCCCAACTGGGTAACATGTAGGGAATAAGAGACTGGTATGATCAGCCTTAAAAGGCATCTCACTCCCTTGATCATGAGGCTCAGGGAGCATTGTAGAAGGGACAGAAAGACTGTAAGAGCTGGAAATAGCAGACATCTGCCCCAAATCTGTATTTGTCAGACACACAGTGCCATTGTACACATGACCTTACAGCATCTGTGACTGCAAACACAGACCTGACCAAGACCAAGCCAGTCAAAACCCCACCGTGGTCAGGGCAGGTGCTTGTGAAGTCCCACCATGGTCAGGGAAGGAGCTCATGAAGTCCCACCATGGTCAGGGAAGGAGCTCATGAAGTCCCAACATGGTCAGGGAAGGAGCTCATGAAGTCCCAACATGGTCAGGGAAGGAGCTCATGAAGTCCCACCATGATCAGGGAAGGAGCTCATGAAGTCCCACCATGATCAGGGAAGGAGCTCATGAAGTCCCATCATGGCCTATGAGCTATTGGCAATTGATGGCTGCTGGCATATGGAAAGGTCAGTTTTCGTCAGGGATTCGGACTCTGAAATGCTATCCATGCTCTAGTAGATGGCTGGTGATAGTGGTAGATAGAGAGGGAACTAGAAGGAAAAAATGAGGGTGATTTGATCAAAATGCATTATGTGCATGTATGAATTTTTAAAGCAATTAAGTGAGTTAGAGAATCTCCATTGTACATGATAGCATGCATGCAAATTGAGAAATAAGTCAAAATATTATTTTTATGTAGCTTGTCAATATAGAAGCAGTTAAAATGGGGAAAAACATGGAAAGTCATACCGAATTTATGAGAAAGGCTTGTGTTTTTTTTGTCTGTTTAATTTGGTTAATAAAGAACTACAGAGACCAAAAAAAAGGTGAAGCAACAGCGTGATAGAAGTTCAAGTTCATCTGTGAAATTAGGCTCACATAGTTCAAAGCAGAAGAAAACTAAAAAAGCGCAAAAACAAGAAAGAGGGGAAGTGCAGATAAATTTGATTGTTATTTATCTCTTTTTTAACCTTTTAACCTTTTCAAAACAGAGCAAAAGTGGTTAGAAACACCGTAAAGCAAAGCAGCCCAGCATAGGCGGGTGTCAGAGACAGCGGATTATCTCAGGTGCTGGGGCGATGCCTGAAAGGAGGGAGCCTGCGGCTGCCTAGGGCGGGAGGGAGGGGCTGCAGAGGCGGGGAGAAGTCTACAGTCCAAAGACACCAGTGTCTTTACATTTTTCAAAAGCCATTTGGAAAGGAACCCTTCTTGAGCTTCCGGTTTGATGCCTCTCATTAATGTTTAACAATTCAGGCCCTGGAGTGGCAGAAAACCCCAGAGCCCCGGCACGAGGTAAGAGACGCCTGCTCAGGGGAAAGGCAGGAAGCTGTACCTCGGGCACTAAGCCGGTAAGTGACTTACCTTCACTATGCAGCCAAAGGGCTCCTGGTCCTTCCTGATGACAGCTGTCGGTTTCTGTACCTCAATGTTCTCCTGTTGACAAAATAAAAAGTGTGTGACAGAAGGTAAAAATCTCCATCTACAAAGATAACGGAGGTGGGGGGGGAGTGAGGAAGATGGAAAATGGGGAGAGGGGGAAAGAGATGGAAAGGGAGAAGGGGAGGGTTAGGGAAATAGAAAGGGGGAGGGAGAGAAGGGGAAGGAGAGAAGGGGAAGGGGAAGGAAGAGGGGTGGGATGAAGAGGAGAAGGGGGGGAGAAGATGGGAGGAGGGAGGGAGAGTGTCCAAGAGGGAAGGGAGGAGCATAGAGAGACAGAAGGGAATGGAGAGGGAGGAGGAGAAAGAGAGGGAGAGAAGATGCTTGGAAGCTAAGATTTTGTGCCAGATCACCGGAAACTGGAAACTTTGATGCTAGCTGGTGGAGACAATGGCAGCTGTGGAGGGCGAATCCAACAAACAGACACTATGAAGAGTGATTTCAAAACTTTTCTATAGTCACATAAAATCATGTATGTGTGCAGAAGTGAATGGTCTACAGAAATAAGGGAGGTCCACCATGCCCACCAGAACTCTTTTAATTTAAAAAAGAATTAGAGAGAGAAAGAATGGTAGGAGGTGGACAAAATGGCTCATGAACAAGCATCAGTTCTTCTGTTCATGAACTGGGTGAACTAGAAGAGAGTCAGTGAGTTCTTAGAGGTCACTCACCCTGTCGGGGTCCTGAGCTCACAGCAGCGGCTGGCTATAATTACTTTTGCTAGCCTGACAGCTGCTGGAGACACGGAAGAGGGTTCTAGCATTTATGAAAACCATTCTAGATAAAACAGCACTAGCCTGTTGCATTATCAATGAAAAAGCATACAGCTCTTACCTTATAAGGAATACAAGATTATGCTAGAGCCATATTTGAGTGACCACGGTCTGGGAACACAAATTTAGATTGCCCCCAAAATTAATGTCTCAACATGAAGCCATTTCATGAATTCTGTAGTTTTACAGAACAAAGAAGGTCATAAATCAAGGCAAATTTAAAATACACTGGAGGGTACACTAGAGAGGCAGGTATAGTGAGATGGAGGGAGTTTTTCTGTAGGCCTCAGATGCTACCTGATAATATTCAGAGACTTTGAGTTGGTGGAAGCTAGTAAGTAGTCTATTAAGTCAATAGATTTCAAAAGGTTTTTATTTATTGGCCATGGAATGTTAGTTATAACAGAGGTGGGCAAGGAACGGCTGTTGAAGTGGCTAAATCTATCCCAAGTTAAAATAATCAGCCTCTGGGTCCATAACATTCCAACCTTTCCATGTCATTGCAGTTCTTCTCTTTTTTTTTTTTTTTTAAGAAATTTATTTATTTACTGTACATCCAGGTAGCAGTTTTCTCTCCCCTGTCTCCTCTCAGTCCCTCCCCCAAACCTCCTCTGCCCCCATCCCCCAATCTGTTTCCCCCTCCTCTGTTTCTGTTTAGGAAAGGGCAAGTCCCCCATGAATATCAATAAAACATGGCATATCAAGTTGCAAGAAGACTATACATCTAAACATCTTCCCGTGTATTTAGGTTGCACAAGGCAACCCAGTATGAGGAGTAGGGTCCCCAAAGCCTGTAGAAGAGTCAGAGACAAGCCCTGTTCCCACTATTAGGAGTCCTACAAGAGGACCAAGCTTCACAGCTGTAACATATATGCAGAGTGCCTAGGTCAGTCCCACGCAGGCTCCCTGGTTGTCAGTTCAGTCTCTGTGAGCCCCTATGAGCCCAGGTTAGTTGATTCTGTGGGTTTTCTTGTGGTGTCCTTGACCCCTCTGGCTCCTACAATCCTTTCTCCCCTCTTCTGCAGGATTCCCTGAACTCTGCCTAATGTTTGGCTGTGGGTCTGCATCTGTTTCCATCAGTTGCTGGATGATGCACCTCTGATCTGTAAAGGATAACTATGCTACAATCCACAGACTCAGAGAGACTGGGTAACAAGGAGGGTTTGTGGGAGGGAATGTATGGATCTCCCTGGGAAGGGAAATAGAAGAGATTTTGTGAGTGGACTGAGGGTGGGTGGGATGGGAACATGAGTGATCAGGTTGGGGAGGGTCGTAGGGAAAGAACACTGAAAGAGACTACTGGAAAGAGGGGGTCATTTTGGGGTCAGATAAAAACCCGGCACAAGGGAATCCACAAGGATGACCGCAGCCAAGACTCCTAACAATAGCCTATATGTAACCTGAGCTGGCCATCTCCTGTGGCCAGATTGGTTCCTAACCCAATTATCATTGCAGTTCTAATCAGTCAGTCAATCTTTGTAGACATGGGTTCTTTCCAGGAATTCTCATTGACAACATGAAGATGTATACCCTGCCCCCCAGATTATATTGGTCTTTTTTTGCAGACAACTATGTGTTCTGAAGGGGAGCAGCCTCTGACAGTCAAGTTCATTGTCTTAGATTCCCATCCAGATTAATTAGGGGGCACAACTATAGTACAAGCAGGAGCAGGGTTGGTCTTGTGCAAGAATACTGGATTAAGGAAGCCACTGAGATGGTATGAACTTTAAACAAGCGAAAATGTCTGAGAGGGGACCGCAGAGGGGGGTTCGGTAGCAGTGCTTGCTGTGTAAGGATGAAGACCTTAGATTTTCCCCAGCACCCATGTGAAAAGCTGGGTGCTGTGGCATGTGCCTGTAATCTCAGCTCTGGGGAGGCATAGGGATCGCTGGAGCTCCCTGCCCAGACAGTCTACCTGCATCCTGGAGCTCCAGGTTCAATGAGAGATCTGGTCACAAAAAATAAGGTAGAACATGACCGAGGAAGACATTGCCTTCACATGCATGAGCACACATATCCATCCTCATGTAAGTATGCACAGCTACATGCACACACACACACACACACACACACACACAAAAAAAAAAAAAAAAAAAAAAAACCCAAAACGTTCTGGGGTACAGTGATGAGGTAGAAGCTTCCACAACATACATGAGGCCCTGGGCTTGACCCACAACATCAGCAAAAAGAAAATGAACAAAATGACTTAGGATAGAGGAAGCAATGAAGAGGGAGCTGTCAGGGTGGGCAGGGGCGTGAGAAGATGGTTAGCGGCCTGAGGGCAGCGGGAAGAGGCAATCACAGAGTCCTAAACTTGAAATCAAGTCTCCAAGCCGCATTCACAGAGACTGACATCACAAAAGATCACAGCACTAGGTGTAGCTATTACTCAGTGGAGAACACTGCTCGCTCATGAAAACAGGGTAGGTAGACCTTGTTCGGCCCGAGACAATGACGCTGTATCACCACTAGGTGCGGTGATACACCTTACTAAAATTAAGTGGCGTTTTTTTGAGTGGAGAAACAAAGCACTTTCTCTAGAAGCCAAAGGCTAGTTTTTAAACATTTTACCACATTAATTGTGTGTGTGTGTGTGTGTGTGTGTGTGTGTGTGTGTGTGTGTGTGTGTGTGTGTATGCATTGCAGGGTATGCTTGTGCCCTGAATGTATGTGGAGTTCATGTTACAAGTTGGGGGAGTCATCTTTCTCATTATCTTCTGTGGGTCCTGGAGATCAAACTCAAGTCTTCAGTCTTGGTGGCAAACACCTATGCCTACTGAACTGTCTTGCCAGCCCACCAAAAGCTGAATTTTGCCAGGTGGTGTTGGCGCACACCTTTAGTAGTCCCAGCACTCGAGAGGCAAAGGCAGGCAGATCTCTGAGTTTGAGGCCAGTCTGGTCTATAGAGCGAGTTCCAGGACAGGCTCCAAAACTACATAGAGAAACCCTGTCTCAGAAAAGAAAAAAAAAGTTGAATTTTAAAATTGCATGGTACACTATGGAATTAGGATGTCCAGTGTTCGGAAACTTACAGAAAATACGTTGATAGAAAATAATGCTATGAAAAGATGCCCAGCTTCACTAGAGAAGAGTAACTAAACCAAGATAAAGCAAATTACCTGCCTTCTAGAACGCCTCAGATTTCAAAGGCTGACCATACAAACTGATTATATGGATGCCTCAAATACTGCTGGCGATAATGTGAAATAGCACAATTGTACTGAAAAGCAGTTTGCTATCTTTCTATGAAGATAGATATGTACTTGTTACATAAAACCGACTTCAAGTCCTAGGTATTTATCTAAAAGAAGTAAAAGGACATGACTACACAGAGACCTGGACACAGGTGTCCGTAGGGGCCCATTGTAATTCTCAAAATCTGTAAACAGTACAGTTGTTCATCGAAGGTGAGGGATTAAATATATTTTAATAAAGCTCTTCAGTGACAACAAAGAGCCAAGCCATCAATATATACAATACGCATAAACTTCAAAATAATTATGCCTAGTGAAAGAAGAAGAAAGGGTGCCCTGCATTGTCGCATGTCTGGGGGTATCAGTTACTACTTGTCATCAAAAGCAGGTCACCAAGAGCAGGAAAGGGAGAGCAGGACAATAGCAGGGCTGCTCAGTGATGCTACAAGAAGATTTTGGAACAATATACCAATAAATCAGTTTACTAGTGGCATGAATGAAATGTCTTTCTCGACCTAATCCTTAAGTAAAATTGAGCACTGAACACAGCACACACTTTGCAGTTCTACACCACATACTACATAGCAATATCCTTTGGCACAGAGACCCTAATATTATACCACAGCAATGACCTTTCTCCTGTGAAAAAGATGAGGTCTGTTGGTTATTCAATAAACTCTACAGACATAGCATCAACTCATGGACAGTACCAATGTAGGATTTGAATTATGTCACCTGTTCGTGTAGACTTGCTCCTTAGTTATCCTTGACACTCTTGGTGGGTCATATGGCATATCAGCATGGGAATCCTCCAGAGCAGTAAAATAGAAGAAGCCAGTGTATCTGATACAGGTAGAAGATGCCAGAGGAGCATAACCCTGAGGTGACCAGCTCTGTGTTTGCTCTAATTACATATTCTAACACACTCTCTTCCTAGTACTCTTCTTGGGACAAGCTTTGTGTGTCAAAGCAACAACTTCTCTCAGGACTTAGTCCTTAGTAGCAGACAGAGAAATGGGCATTCAGATTTGTTCCTATGTCATGCTGGTAAAGTGGGTAGACTGTGAACCTGTATTTGAACTGAGGTGAGCCTGGTTCCCAAGCCAGAGTTCTTCAGGCATTCTGCAGAGTCTGCTAAATCCTATGATAAGCAGTTCCAGCCCTTAGTTGCAGGATGCTTAGTGTGTTGAAGTAGGAGATGGTGACCAGCTCCACCTCCACCGAACACCGTGCCCCAGGTAGATGGAATGGGCCCGGTTTTGACTGCTTGGTCCCCATCTTCAAATGTCCCAAAGGCATCTCCTTTTAACTCGCATCTATGGGTTACATATTGCCTGGACACTGTTAGGCCACAGATCCTCTAGCTCTCTCTCCCTCTCTCCCCTCTTCCCCTCAGAAATCAGCTCACATACCTCTGTAGCTCTCTAAGAATTGATAATAAAATTTGCTGTGACTTTCAGTCTCTGTCTCATATTAATTAAGCTGTGAAACCCGGCCCCCTCACTCCTCACCACCCCCTTCTCCCCACATACCCCTCCAACCCATCCCTAAACTAATAACCTTTAATTATACTAATCTTATCAGTGCCTTCCTGGCTTCTGGTACATAAGCTAGGACAAACTAGATCTTGTGGCGTGGAACTTGCTCACCAACCTGAAAACCTATAAAAGTCAGAAACCCCCTTTATTGTCTGGAATTAAAGTCCCATTTCAAGTCCCACCCCCACTGTTTCTCATATCAGGGTCCCATTATTGTGGCCCATGAAGCTCTCCCTCTCTTCATAAATTTCAACTGAAGGGTAACATCATATCAGTTCTTTTCTATGAACTTGCTTTCTTTTATTTTCTTCTTTTTTTTTCTGACAAAAACTAGTCATCCAGAAAGAAAAAACCACCATGGCCACAGAGGTAGAACTGAAACCTGTAAGTGAACAGAGTGAGTACGTCCTAGGCATGCAAGTGGACAAGAAGACCCGTCCCCAGAAAGGTAAGCTGTGGATAGCTGTTTGTCCACTGACTTCAAGGTGCATTCTCTTCGGTAACATAGTCATGTGTAATAGTGAACTCATCACTTTTAAGTTTTTGATTCGTTTTGAAACACAGTAACATTAATGCACATCTCACAGTTATGTAAAAGAAGGAAACACGCTCTTCTTAAATAGTTTTTCACAGTTACTTTCTCATCGTTATCCATGAGTTGACTCTTCATAATTGTTAACAAAGCTGTCAGCACACAGCTCCACATCCCATTCCTTTAATATCTACATGGAATACTGCAAACATAATCACATTACTTGATTAAAGTAACAAATTATATAAATATCCAAAATCAAGAAATGTAACATTTTTGCAAGCTTAATTCACCCAATATAATTTTTATTGCATTTGTTCTATATGATTTTTATTTAACTCCATTCTGTATTTTAACTTGCTAACATATTTTTCAGTATTGCTTTATGAGAATAACAAAGTCTTATTCTTTTCAACTTTTTTAATTCTTTAAATGTAGCACACCATGGAATGGGTCTCATTATGGCATCTTCATCCACGTGACACTATATTTTGTTCTTCTTCCTCTTCTCTACCCTCCCCTGTGTTCCCTGTTCACCTCTGGCTCTGTCCCTTCCTTCCTTAAGATGGAGTACAGATGATGTGAAAGCAGAAAGGACCACTGTCTGGAGGAAGGAAGGCAGCAGAATGCATGCCTGATGATTCCAACAGGTCCACCTTCACATTTATTCACCTGAGAAGCCCTCCTGTGGCTGATATTTAACTGTGCCCTTTGGTTTTGATACTTTGTTATAATCTACATGTGAAATGTATATGTGACTTGGCTATTATATGCATTTGGACTATATGTAAGAACTATTAAGTTGTATGTCTTATGGTAAAATCACATAGCACTTGGATAATCACATTTGGATTATTTCCTTAGCTTTTGAAATGAAAATGATAATTTTGAGACAAAATTTATGATTATTTTGCTTCCAGTGAAACAGAGGCTTTGGTTTTCAGTCTCAATACAGATGAAAATATGTGGTGGATTGTGAGCGAAATTACTTGTCTTGCGGCATGATGGTAACCCTCAAATGGCTCCACCAAATTAAGATGGCAGCATGGAGCCATTGTGGATGGAGACTAAGGCAAACATCCAGTCATAGGACACAGCTGTGTAGAACAGCCTCAAACCAAAAGAGAGACGAGGGATGATTGGCTGAGGCTTGTGTATCTTAAGTGAAAAGACAGCAGTCTGTTCCAGGTAGACTTGATAAGCGGATTTAAAAAAATAAAGAAAACTACAGATAGGGTATATATCTCAATGGCAGGGCAATTGTCCAGCATGTGCAAGGTCCTGGGTTTGAACCAGCATCACCCTCCAAAAATAATATTAAGTAAAGCAAGAAAACCGCAGTATTTGGGAAAATGGAATTACTATCAAGCTGAAAAAGCCTTTGGAAAATGTTGGGGGTTGTCAGAGCTCAAGGATTTACTTTTTATTTGTTAATCAGTTTAAATTTGATTTGCTCATCAGTTGACCAATTGATTTTTAGTAAACAAAAACAGAAAAATGGTGCTGGATGTGGCAGTGAATACCTGGTATCTGAGCACTGTAGAGGCAGAGGCAGGAGGACCATTTGCCTGGCCTACCCAGCAAGACCCCATCACAATAAACAAAACCAAACAAGACAAAATGAAGAATGCTTAAATAGAGCTTCAGTGTCAAGAAATGTAGTGTTGCCATACTAGTCCCCTGGTTTTTCCTTTTATTTAAGTGTGCAATGACTCCAACATTATTTTTCTCTACAACATAGTAATTTAGTGCTCTTTCATTCCCTGCCACATCCTACACACACACACACACACACACACACACACACACACACACACACATCATTCTTGGGGTGTACTGGTATCATTCCATAGATTTTCCTGTCGTTTTATATTGTTCTCAGTCGAATTTCAGTGCTTTAAAATGCAAATGTTAGTTAATGCTTACCACCCTGCTTGGTTGTAGTTTTATATCTGCTTCGACAATAAAATACTCTAATCCAAAGCAACTTAGGGGAGGGGGGAAGGTTTATTTTAGCTTGCAGGTTATCGTCCACCATTGAGGACATTAAGTCAGGAACTCAAAGGCAAGTCTGCCTGCTATTCTACCCAGTACTAGCTCTAGTGAAGGAACTCAGTCAAGGAGTACAGCAGGAACCATGGGAAAATGTTGCTTGCTGACTCACTCTGGCTCATGCTTTCCTACACAGTCCGGGAGCACCTGCCCAGGGAATGGCGCCACCCATAGTGAGCTGGACCCTCCTACATCAATTGATAATCAAGACATGCCCAATAGCTAATCTGCTGTAGGCAATTTCTCAATTGAGACTCCCTTCCTTCTCAGGTGACTCCAGGCTGTATCAAGCTGACAGTTAAAACTAACTAAGGACAGCCTTTGGAAAAAAAAATATTATGTAGTCAAATAGTACACTCAAGTAATCTATATTGATGCCACCCAGTGGTCCCTGCAGACATGCTGTCTTAAAGTCAATAGCCAGAAACAACATGCATTTGCTCTCTCACTAGTCTATGCAAAGAGTTGCGGGGCAGAGCTCTAGGCAGCTCCGCTTAACTTTTTTTCTGGGTCTCACCCTGTCTCACTCCTTCACAAGGCCCTCCAGTGCTTCCCACCCCGCTCAAAATAAAAGTCAGAGCACCTCCAACAGTCCATGAGACGGTTAAGACTGGATTCTGCTCTGGTCCTCTCTCCTCTGTCCTACTCACCTGGTGCTGGCTCTTTGAACACTCACTGCAGGGCATGGAGTATGCCTTCCCCTGAGATGCCCGCATGGCCAACTCTCAGGCGCTCTCCGGGGACTCCGCCTCCTCCTGCTTTGTTTTCTGCACAGCACTGACATCCTCTAAGACAGACGGACTGCCTTGCCGTGTGTGTTGTTCTCATCTCTGGGATGTGAGGTTCACTAGCTGTGTGCTGCTACACACGGGGAGTGATCAATAGGCGTGTGTTCCATAAGAACTGAAGATACAAGCTAGACTGCAGAGCACGGCTTAGGAGGACCTCTGTCAAGCTCCTATCCAGCTCCCTGAAGTGAACCAACTGGCTTGTTCTGCCACAGAATGAGCTGGGCAGATAGGCTTCCCCAAGAGACAGACAACTCGTCTGCTAAAGTACCCATGCAGGACACCCCCTGAGAAGATGCTGAGCTCTGCATGCTCAGCTGATTTACCACAGTGGTTACCTGAGCTCTTCTTCTCCTGGGAAAGAAAGAAAGTGGAGAGTGCTCCCTCCGCAGTGCCCTTCGTTGAAGTGCGGCTGTAAAGGATGCCTGTGGGCTAGTGAACACAGATGCCTGCGGTGATCTTATCATGTCGGGTCTGTCTAAAGTGCACTGCCAGGGCACCGACACAGTGCCAGGCTGCAGGGCTGTCTCAGAAGCAATGGAAAGCTGCCTTAAGAGCTTGGGAAGCAATCCACTCTCTAGCCAACACCCCTCAGAGGCCCATGTCTGAAGCATTCTCCCATGCGCATGCGCGGCACCTGGGTTTTCAGTACTTTGGACAAGGCAACCATGCTCAGGGAGAGGGGGAGGGGTGCCTTGGAGCCGCACACACCAGTGGCGTCAACACTGCGCAGACGTCTTTTTCCAGTATAGCTTCACTACAGGTTTTCGGCATTTGAGGGTGTCAATTTCTCTAATGAGGAAACCTCTCTAGGACTTAAACTTGATTCATTTTTTTTAATGTGACATTTTAAGTGAAAGTTTATCCTCAACTTCTTCAAACTTTAAATTTTATTTGTATACATTAGGCATGATATATTATATACATTATATGTTTGATATGTAAGATAAACATAATATATGACATATCACTAGACATGCTATACATGTACATGTGCATGTAATTTACATATAATTTATTACAAATTGTATGATTATATATATTTAACTTTTAATGTAAGTTTTATATTTACTTACTGTGAATCATTTCATCAGCTCTAAAACTGAATTACTTAGGAATGGGAGAGACAAAATTATAGGAAGGACAGAAAGCCCGGAAGGCAGCCAGGTTCTGCAAATCTGTAGCATAAAATGTTCCTTGACTCAGTTCACCTATCAGCTGCTTTTGAATCTCCCTTTCCTGACTCCAGCAAAACTCGAATGGTCGTTTAAGTCATCAGATGATCAGTGGTGACTTTCAGACAAGGCCACATTCAGCTGGCCCCAAACAGCAGCCAATGATGACCAAACTCCTAATCCTCCTGCCTCCATCCCTCAAGTGCTGGGATTACAGGTTTACACCACCAAGCCATGCTTTCCATTATATACCTTGTGAAAAATTAATGCTAGCTCAGTAAAGCCAGCCATGATGTCGTGTCCTCCTTCCAGTCCCGAGTTTGTGTTCCGTGCGCTACGGAATGGCCTTCCTCGCACACTTAAGCAACTTCACATTCATAGCACAGAATTCCATCATAAGCATCACTATGGTAGCCATGGTCAACAGCACAGACAACCAACCTCACCTCAACAGCTCCACAGAAGGGCTTCCCACCAATTTAAATGGTGACCAACACGAAGCCTTGAAGGATCTTTCTGTAAAGGTAGGTGATGCAGAATTTAAGTTTGTGCTCCCGTGTGTGTGTGTGTGTGTGTGTGTGTGTGTGTGTGTGTGTTGCACACGTGTGCACATGTATGTGAAAGCCAAAGGTCAAACAAATTTGGGTGTCATACTTCAGAAGCATGACACTTTTTCTCAGGAGGCAGGTTCTCTCCCTGGGACCCGAGATTTGCATGCCATGCTGTGATGACTGCCCAGAGTGTCCCAGGGATTTTCGTGTTGCTGCCTCCCCAGTGATGAGGTTCCGAGCCACAATGCTGGGATTTTTCTGTGGGTTCTGGGCATTGAAATGAGCTTGTCATCCTTGCACAGCAGGCATTTTACCAACTGAGCCACCTCTCCAGCCCCTATGCTCAAAGTTTTCTATTCATTTTATATTTATTTTTCTAGAGTTTATGTGTTCGAAGCCCCGTTTTACAGTTCTGGGAGGAGAAGCCAGAGCCTTGCACATCCTAGATCAATTGCTCTGCAGCTGAGCTGCTTGCCAGCCCCCTCTTCCTTTTCTCTTATATTGATTCTGTTTTCAGAAAGGGTCTCATTAAGTTGCCCAGGCAGACCTTGAGCTCCATTTGTAGTCCAGGCCAGCCTTGAACTTGTGTCTCTCTTGCCTGAGCCTCTTAAGTAGCTGGTATTTCAGACCTGTGCAACCAGGTCCACCTGTGTTCAAAAATCTTAATTGAGAAAATTCAAATCTCATGAGGCTTCTTAAGCTCGGTAAGTGCCTTCTGGTATGTGACTCACAAGAGCATTTTGTGCTTTCCAAAGGCCCCCGTGTATAACTGGAGTCCTCAAACCCAAGGATTCATCTTCAGTTCTGTCCAGTACGGCATGATGCTGATGCAGGGCCCTGGTGGATTCTTGGCTGGGAAATTAGGAACTAAGAAAGTGGTCGGAGTTGCTCTGCTCGGGTCCTCACTGCTCACTCTCTTCATCCCGTTGGCTGCCAATCTCGGACTAGCCGTTCTCCTGGCAACGCGAGCAATCCAGGGCTTAACCCAGGTACCAAGTGTTTTGAGTATTTCCTTTCCTTTTTTTCTTTTTTTTCTTTAATGTAGACCAGGCTGGCCTCAAACCCAGAGAGCTCCACCACCTGCCTCCACCTCCTCAGTGTTGGGCTTAGATATGTGTGTCACCACACTCAGTCCCAGATACTGAGTTTTGGTATGACTTTCCAGATGACATCATATCCATATCTCTGGCCATTCTGATTTCAGGGCACTGGATTCGGGGGTCAGTTTGCACTCTGGCAGAGATGGGCTCCTCCGAACGAACGCAGCCGACTCTGCAGCATTGCTCTGTCAGGTAAACGTGTACAGATGGGAGCTGGCAACCCCGCACTTCCCACTCGGCTCCTGAACGGTTTTCCCGTCCAACAGTTCTTTATCTTCTGCTTGTTGTTAATGAAGTGTTCATACAAATTGCCATGACTTATTTTGCCTGTGTTGTGATTTGTGGCATAACTTTGCTTATGATATGATTTCTGACATTTAAAAATATTTTTTATGTCTTCAAATTGACCACTTTTATTTTGTGGAATTTAATTTCAACTCACTGGCAGAGAGGCTGTAAAAGTAATTACCAATGTTTTTTTTACAAATTTATACAGCTTAATTTTTATATATTAATTCCTGGCCATCATATGAAGCTTTATATTTGCATTCAGTGTGACATATAGATTCAAATTAATGGTTTTTGTAATTGCACTAAATTGTCCTGAGAACATCTTATTTTAAAAAGTTTTTATTACATTTATTTACTTAATATACATGCATGCCACAGCGCATATTGGAAGTCAAAGAACAGCTACCAGGAGCCAATTTTATCCCCTTTTACCATGTGGGTTCTGGGAATCAAACTCATGTCACAGTCAAGCTTCAGCGAGCACTTTGACGCACTGATCCATCTTACCTGTTCCTGAGGACTCTTCTGAAAATGACCTGTTGGTGAAATGCACCCATTCTAGAGGCAGAAGCCTATTTATCATAAAATAGGGAGAATAGCTGGTCCAAATGAACAGCCACTGTCAAGGCCAGCCCTGGGTAAGAAAAGGGTAGGATGCAGGCAATGGATGTGTTCAAAGACAGTCAAGAGCTCTTCAAGTCCAAAATCGCCACATATTTTAAAGGGAGCCTCTAAAACTCCTTCAGAAACCCAGGATAGTGGTATCCAGGGTGGGGCATGGGAGTTTATGTTAACTGACAGAAAGGGAGCATCCAATTTAGACAAACGAAATTCACCTCAGTTACCCAATTGTGAGATGACCCCAAAACACCAGAGAACCCAGGGAAAAAGGAGCATGAGAATGTGGACATTGAAGCTGTGGGATTCACTTGGACAACAGGGCATACAATGCATGAATGGAAAGGGATGTGATAGCTAATGCAGGCAATCCCAGCACAGGCTGCTTTGTCTTTGGTGTGGAGGAACTGCTTGAGGAACTCCAGGAAGAAATTTTTTCTGACTTCAGAAAACACAGGAAACCTCCTGGCTTCCTCATAGGGAACCCCCGGGCTTCCTGAGGGTGGCACGGAGAGAGCAGATGGAAAAATTCCATCCAAACAGAGCCAATTGAGCTCACATTCCTGCCTCAGTAAGACTGATATCACTTACAGTGATGCCTGGGTTAGAAGACAGGATTGCTCTACCCAGAAAGCTAGAGAAAAACACCCTCTCCAGAAAAGCACCTGCCTAGGGCCCAAAGAGCCTGGCTACTGCCGGCCTCCAGTGCAGAACGTACATCATATTCTTTATAGGTGTTTCAAACCTTTGACATTGTCAGCTACAGAGTTCACACATGAGAACAAAGTCGAGAGATTAAAACGTCGTGAAGTCTCATCCCAAACTTCAGAACTGAGTTGAGTTTCTTTAGGAAAGTGGCTTTGGTGTGCTGACCACCTCTAGTGAAGGCCTCTCATCCAAAAGTGTACAGGCAGCACAAACTGGACTTCATGGTTTATAAATAATAGGGTACAGTTGGGTGGGTTGGAAAGGATGGATGAATCTAGAAAGAATTGGGGAGGGGTAGATATGATCAAAATAGATTGCATGATATTCTCAAAGGGCTAATAAAAATGAGGAAAAAACAATCATAGAATAGCTCATAACGTTTAAGTAAGTTTAAGATTTAATGATGGGCTGTATTCATAGCTATCCTGGAGTATAGGTGGTCTGTGGATCATCGGTTGGACATGCTTTCAGGGGCTACAAAAGATAAATGGAAGTAGGGAAGTTTGCAACCACTCACAGAACTTTGGAACAGTGCCGGTCAAACAGGGCTCGTACCTCATTCTTAAGGCTAGATGGGAAGAAGAAAATGTCTTATTAGCTTAGCCCAGAGCTCAGGAAACAGACAGGCTCTCAAACCAAATTGGATGCCATCATTGCACAACTTTCTGAGTTAATTTAAAACACAGTGAAAGAGCGAGAAGGCGAGAAGGAGAGAGAGAGAGAGAGAGAGAGAGAGAGAGAGAGAGAGAGAGAGAGAGAGAGAGAAGGGAATGGTATAGTTATTTCATGAGAGATAGGAGGCAAACACATGGAAGGACCATATGTGCTCAGATGACTAAATATCCCCTCTCTGTCTTTCTACTTCATCAGCCCTCTCACCAAGGGGGTGGTTATGAAAAACAAAGTTAGAGTTCAAACAAAACTGTCCCCAGAGGAAAGACATCCTGGACCAAAGACATCTACTAGCTCCATGGAAGAGACCCAGGAAAGAGTAGAGGAGGTCAACTAAAGATCCTGATCATTGCTGTGTTTTGTTTCTTGAATAACTGGGGCAGAATGGGCAGCACCATAGGATGGATGGCTGTCCCAGGCCTTTGTATGTATTGAATCAGTAGTGCTGTGTTGATATGTGGTCCCTTTAAAGGGTGGGGAGCAAACCAAGGTAAAGTATTTATCAAGCTCTAAATGCTAAAGAAACTCCTGAGATATCAGTCTTAAGATATGGAACAAGGAAGAGATAGGTACATTCAAATGTCGCAGACCCCAGCACTCTAGGGATTGGTGGCTCATATGCCTCTTGAATGTTCAGGGCTACAGCCTTTTGGGAGTTTTCCCTTGCAGATGGACAAAGAAACACCAAAATGTACAGAGGGGGCTCCAAAGAGGCCAATATTTGTTTTGTTTTCACTCCTCTTTATTTTTTTTTTTAGAATATTGAAAAATATTTTAACTTTTAAATCTGTTTTTAATTGACTTAAAAATCATAAATGTTAATGGCCTGGTGCCATGAGATATTTGAGTACATGTGAACACTTACTGATGTTCAAATCCAGGCACATCTATCTCTCTAACATTGATAATTTCTTTGTAGTGAAATTATTCAAAATTTTCCTTTTCAGATTTTTTTGAAATGTAGTATGCTATCATTATTTACACTCTGCCTGCTACTACGCAACAGAACACCAGAACTTGCCCTTTATTTCCAATATGGATCCTATGCTATTGGCATTGCATGTGGTTGGGAAAGAGTCAGGAGTGGAGAGGAAAGTGAAGGTGAAGAAGTGAGAAGATACACACTTAGAAGCCTGGGCTTGAAGTAGACTGGGACAGGGGAAATCAAGAGAACAAAAAGGACTTGACCTTGGATGGATAGAGGAGTCTGTCCCCCCATCATAACCAAGGTAGAGTCAGACATTTAGGGGAAAGGCATGGATTGGATGGACCTGGTGGTAGAATAGGTACCCACTTCCAGCTTTCTATACATGCACCCTGGAACTTGGTATTCTCTTTCAAATGCTCCTTTCCTGTTATTAAAAGGCCAGCCTGGGGGCAGTTCATTTAACTGTAGCTGGCTATACTTGATCACAGGCAAGTTTGATTGCTAGTATTTAAATGAGATAGCATAGACAATATGCTACAATAAACATGAATAAAAGAAAAAGCATATGTAAACAATTATTTGTACCTTGCAGTGTAGGTTAAAAAGAAGTCTGGGCCAAAGAGTAAATCTAGAGGGTGGCAGATCTGACTCCACAGATGTCTGCAACTGCTGACTGTGAAATACAATGATATAAACAAAGTTAGAGATGGAAGAACTGCTGCCAGTATGCCACACGGGGCTTGTTCACAATGCACAGAGAGTCTGTAACTTGAGACAAAGAGAAACAACTGAAAAAAAAAAAAACAGAAAAAAGACAGTACACAACTGTAGCTGATTTTTCTCCTCTTACTCTTTGGGGACCTGCCACCTGTTCCCAAATAATCAAACGGAGACTTATTCTTACTTGTGAATACCCGGCCTTAGCTTGGCTTATTTCTAGCCAGCTTTTCTTAACTTAAATTATCCCACCTACCTTTTTCCTCTGGGCTTTTACCTTTCTCTATTCTATATACCTTTCTTTACCTCTTACTCTGTGGCTGGCTGGGTGGCTGGCCCCTGGCATCCTCCTCTCCTCCTTTTTCTGCTCCTTTCTCTTCTGTCTTTCCTATTTATTCTGTCTGCCTGCCAGTCCCGCCTGTCCTCTTCCTCCTGCCTGGCTATTGGCCATCCAGCTCTTTATTAGACCAATCAAGTGTTTCAGACAGACAAAGTAACACAGCTTTACAGAGTTAAATGAATGCAATATAAAAGAATGTAATACATCTTTGCATCATCAAACAAATATTCCACAGCAAAAACAAATGTAACACATTTTGAACTGATATTCCACAACAAACAATAAAGTTGGTAAACAGGAAGATTCAACTTTACTATAAAGAACAAAATTTAAACTGAGGTTGTTTTTATTATTTATATGGAAGACAAGTGCTTAAAATTTTTCAGGATATTAGATGTTATCAAGGAGATAAGAAAGAAGTATATTGGCAATTTAAGTTGCTACAGCTTTCCACAAAGAATTTTTGCAGTATTTACCAAAATTTAAAATATACATAGCCTTTGATCTAATAAGTTTACCTCTGATATTCTCTTCATGAAAAAAAATATGTTTATATTCAGAAATGAGTAATAATGCCTGTTTAGAATTAGAATCTGTTGTGGTATTTGTATATGTTCTAATAAATAAAGCTTGCCTGAATATCAGATGGCAAAGCCAGCCACTAGTTAGTCATAGAGGCTAGGTAGTGGTGGCACACACCTTTAATTCCAGAATTTGGGAGGCAGAGGCAGATGGATCTCTGTGAGTTCAAGGCCACTCTGGGCTACACAAGATTGATCCAGTCTAAAAGATAAACAGAGCCAGGTCATGGTGGCACTCACCTTTGATCCCAGCACTTGGGATCTCATGACTTCATTCCCAGTACTAGGGAGGTGGAGACAGGAAATAATATGGCTGGGTGGAGAGAGGAATATAAAGCAGGAGGAGACAGGAACTCAGGTCCCTTTCATCTGAGGAATTCTTAAAGGTAAGAACTAGTGGCCGGCTGTTCTGCTTCTCTGATTTTTCATCATTTTCCCCCTATATTTGGTACTGGGTTTTTATTAATAAGACCAATTAGGATTTGTGCTATAAGAATCTACAATGCAATGGAGATATTTGTAAGAACAATTGCTCAATGAAGATGAGTGTTGGGGCTGGAGAGATGGCTCCACAGTTAAGAGCATGTACTGTTCTTGCAGAGGACCTAAGTTCTGTTCCCAGCACTCATACCTGTAACTGCAGCTCTAGGGGACCTGACATCCTCTTCTATCCTCCATGAGCATTCCATTCATGTGCACACACACACACACACACGCACGCACGCACGCACGCACACACACACACACACACACACACACACACACACTGCACACACACACAATAATTAAAAAATAAAAAAATTTAAAGATGACTAAAACCCTTGGGCCATTATGATAGCACTTCTTTTAAAATAACGACTCCACACACATGGAATTTGACAAGTTGACTAAACATAAAAAGTGAGATAGCTTGCAAATATTTGAAAAACTGTGAAATGGGAATATGACTAACATATATTAGAATGCTCTATGAAGTTATAGAAATTAAAACAGCATCATTAGCATATTTATGGAGAAATAAGCTCCCTGTAAATGCATTTACAAAGAGAATGAATATATGGATCTCTATAAATAGCATATAAGTGCACAGAAAATACGGTGAATGACTGTTTCTTGTACAATAAATTGATGTGATATTTGCCTTCAGAAGGATGAGGGGATAGAATTGGAGGATGCACAACAACATTGACTCTTCATGTGCTTTATTCAATAATAAGTGTATATAACTGAAAATTAAGACAACCTGAAGGGTGGTATGACATCACCTGCAGTGGTAATTTTGAGGGGGGAGAATGACTCTCGGGAAGTATATGAATTAAATGAGAAGGCTGAAGGTTCTGCATTTGCACACACTTGTTCTATAGTTTGGTGGCACTTCTTGACGTTCACCTGCCAGCCTACATTATTTGTCTGGCAGAAGGCAGGAGTCCCACCACCTTCTTTCTGTCTCTCTACAGGAATGGTGTTGGGAATCTTTGCTGTCCTCCTTGTGGGTGGCGTCATTAGTGAAGCCCTTGGCTGGCCCTTTGTCTTCTATATCTTCGGTAAGCAGCTGGCTTCTGAGAGATTCAGTGATGTTCTTCTGAGGTTGTGCATCTGTGTGTACTTTCCTGAAGAAAGAGGGTCAACATATCGAAATGTTAGGGAAGCAAAATATCTTAATTTAAGGAGATAACCTTTGTTAGCCAAGATGTGGAAATCCTCTGGCTTCATATAAAGTACTGCTCTTCCGCCATGAGGCTCAACCATCATGGTTCCACTGTGCCTCACAGGCAGGAGGGGAAGGCCAGCAGAGCAGTGCTTTCTCAGAGACAGAAAGCAATCCTGGGAGGTAAGTGTAGCTGTGGGTTTGTCTGTGGTTAAACATAGCAAGGGGGCGGGGTCCTGGGCAAGCCTCAAGTTTCCCAAAGAAAAGAACATATCAAACACTGAGAGTAATTCGTGGTAACTTCACGATTGGCCTCCAGACTGCGGTTGAGTTAGAAACCAAGAAAGTACTGCTTCACCTACAGCTTCCACTGGAGTGGCTTTGCATTCTATTTTCAAACTTCCCATAGCTTGTTTTGTTTACACACCTGCTCCTCTTCCAGTCAGTGAGTGTCTTGAGGCCAGAGGTGGGTTATTGTCAGTTCTTGAGACGGTGCAGAGCTCAAGAAACATGAAAACATTACTTAAGAGATAATTGGGTGGATATATTAATACCAGATGAAGATCTTCACAACAAGGAGTATTACCAACTCAACAAGAACACACAAGAATCTGAAATGCACATGTACCCAGCAGCAGAGCTCCCAAATGCACCATGCAAAAATTGATGGAACAAGGTTGGGATGTAGGCTAATTGATAAAGTTCTTGCCTAGGATGAAGCCATGGGATGGGTCCCCAGTACCACAGAAAACTGGGCACAGTGCCACATGCCTCTAATCCCAGTTCTCAGAGAGCAGAGACAGGAAGACTAGAGGTTCAAGGTCATTCTTGATGACACAGAGAGTTTGAGACCAGTCTGGGCTACTCGAAATAGTGTTCTGTGGAGCAGGAGTAGGTTGAGAAAACAAAAACCACAAAGAAATATTAGCCAGGCAGCCTAGGCGACTAGATGAGCTCCAGAGTCAGTTAGATTCCTGTCTCAAAAAAATCAAGGAAGACAACCCCCCCATTCACACACATGAACACCAGACCTACATATAAAATCTGAAAAAATTATTCTAGAAGAAAAAGGGGTAAATTCTTTGTTCTTTAATTAACTAAAGAATTCCTAAATATGACACCAAAAATATGAGCCATAGATGAAATTGATGAATTGGATATCAGCAGAGTTAAACAATATATATCCTCTTCAAAAAACATTACTAAAATAATAAAAGGACAAACTGGTTCAAGGAGAAAATATCTACAAAACAATTATATGTTTCTTTAAAATTTGTAAATAATTTTCAAAACTCAATGAGAATATAAAAACCTCAGTTGAAAAATGAGCAGAAATATTTCACCAAATCCACACAGAGAGATCACAGATCTACAACCAGACACTTAACCAAGGACCTTTAGTCATGGGGGCATGAAAATCAAAATTATACCTCCATACAACCTATTAAAATGGCTAATAAATGTTACACTTTCCCTAAGGTCTGTGACCCTCTTCCCATACACAAATAAACAAGAAATGTAAAGAAATATATGAGACCACTTGTTTGAGAACTGGAAAGGACTCAGAATGAGCTTTGGCAATAGCTTATCCTAGAAAATGTCCCAGCATGAGAACAATCCCTTCAATATACCCACAGGGCTCTGGGCAGCCCAGCACTGAGATCTACACATCCGTAATTATTGCTGCACTATTCACAGCATCCCAGGCACGGAACCAGCCTAGGTGTCCAGCAACAGGGAACAGATAAAGGAAATGTGGCACAGAGCCACAGTGGAATTTGATTCAGTCGGAACAAAGAATGAAATTATGTCATTTTCTGGCAATGGAACTGGAGATCATCATAGTAAGAGAAATAAGTTAGATGCAGAAAACAATCCACGTATTTTTCTCTCATTTGTGGAAACCAAAATTCTTTATAAAGCAATCTGTCTACCTATCTATATGCATACATACATACATGGGTCATAATGTACATATACATACATGCATACATGGTCATAACATGCATACACATACATACATACACACATAGATGACTCATAACATACATATACACACATGAAAGCAGGCAGGCAGCTAAGGAAGGAGATTAGTAACTGGAAGGGGGGAGGGAGAGGAGTAACTAGGGTGGGGATGGGAAGAAGCTGGCATGCTCCAAACATGTGACACATTTAAAAGGAATTATCAAAAACCAAAATTATGTGCAATGACTGTTACACCAATTAAAAAAGAAAAATGTGAAATCCATGTAAAGTTCAGGATTTAGGAGTAAGGAGTCAAGAAAGTGTTGACAGATGTTCTACGATGCCAACATTGAAGATGCAGGACAAGAGGTGTGTGGCAACTGGAGGCTATCTTTGCAACATTTAAACAGGCCTATCATTGTTCCATAATTTAAAGTCCACTTTTCAAAAAAAGACAAAAATGAGCTCTCTGATGAACGCTCCCCTTGTTTGCAGGCGGTATCGGCTGTATCTGCTGCCTTCTCTGGTTCATTCTGGTTTATGACGACCCTGCCTCTCACCGGTGGATAAGTGGTCCAGAAAAGGAATACATCATATCCTCCCTGCACCAACAGGTACTCATAAAAACTCCAGGCTCTGCAGAAACCTTGAACCCACATCTGGGTTCCTAAAGGCGGCCGAGACTCTGAGCCTCGTGCTGATCTTACTGCTCCGATCAATGCATTTGTTTTCAGGTCAGCTCAGAAGATCAGCCGCTTCCCATCAAAGCCATGCTCAGATCTCTGCCACTCTGGTCCATATGTCTTTGCACTATGACCCACCAGTGGCTTGTTAACACCTTTATAATATACACCCCAACCTACATCAGTTCTGTGTTCAAAATCAACATCAGAGACGTGAGTAAATTTCACTCCATCCCTCGCTCATGTTTGCGTGATTCCTCAGTTCCTCAGCTGGCACAAATCATTCTATCTGCAGGGCATTAACTCTCATTTCCCAAGATAATCTCATCTTTCAAACCTGTAACAGTAACTGTGCTGGGGGTATGACTTAAAAGCTTGCCAAGATTCCCAAGAAAAAATGGTTTCCAAGTGTCGGGATAATTATGAGGGAATTACCAACAGGCTTTTTCACTGCCTTAATTATGGTCATTCACTCAGTCTTTTTACCCCAGAATGGGTTCCTGTCTTCTCTTCCTTTTTTCGTTGCCTGGGTTGTTGGTATCCTGGGAGGCCAGCTCGCAGATTTTCTTCTGAGCAAGAATTTTAGGCTCGTAACTGTGAGGAAAATCATCACAATTTTAGGTAAGAACAGGGCATGAGAGTTGAATGACTTATAAGTATTGAACAGTCGGTGAATGCATCTCACTCTTGGATTTGTCTGTTCCACATTCCCTAGGAAACGTCCCCCCAGTAGCCCTCATTGTGGCTCTGCCCTATGTCCAGTCCAGCTACATCACAACAATTGCATTTCTGACGCTTTCCTGTGGATTGAGTCCTCTGTGTCAGTCCGGAGTCTATATCAATGCTTTAGATATTGCCCCAAGGTAGGACTCTTGTGTCTACTCTTAGCTTCACATTTTCCCGGGGGTTGGAGGGGTGGGAATGATCTATAGTGTTCTGGGGTCTCAAAGTTTGTAAAACAATAAATCATAAGCATGGACCATAGATGGGCCTAGGGTGTGTTGGGTGGAGGGGTGTTACCTTGTCATATTGCCTCACATTGAATATACATTGTCCAAGTCCTTTTGGATGTAATTACATGGTGGATTCACACATAAAACGGGGCTGAAAGATGTCTGGATTTAGCTTGGGACATTTCTATCACCCACAGGTATGCTAGCCTTCTTCTGGGAACATCTAGAGGATTGGCACATTCATCTGCTGTGCTGGTACCCATTGTTGGTGGCTTTTTCCTCAATCAGGTAGTTTCCATGCCAAGACAGATGTTTAAAATACTCTCCCACATGCATTTATAAAAGTGATGATAGCTAGAGCATATTCAAAGATTGGGAAATAGTGTGGGATTGGGGGTGACCATGAAGTAGAGAGCAGAATGAACCAGAGTTGAGGTCATTCTAGAGTCAAAGAAGTAGCCACAGCTCCACTCATAATCTCCATTTGAAATGGGAAACAAACAACCCCATAGGTGACTCAGGATGATGTTTCCATGCTGGCCTGCCAAGCCGTCTGAATTTTCATTTGTGTAAATAATCACACACAGGGAAGGGAGAGGAGAAGCAGCACAGGTGAGAGCCTGATGCATGCTGGTATCATGACAAGCATCTTTCTCCCCAGACAGCGTTTCCCTGGCTGTTCTGGAACTTGTCTTGTAAACCACCGTTTGCAAACCATTTTGAACTCACAGAGATCCGCCTGCCTCTGCCTCCTGAGGGCTGAGATTAAAGGTGTGGCATGCACCACCACTGCCTGACTATGACAAGCATTTTATACATCACAGTCTTGTTTAATGTTTCATTCTCATATTAGTGTGAAAATTAATACCATCACCTTCATCTCCTAATGCTTAAACCGAAAATCTGGTAAAATGAGTGGTTCTGATCCGAGGAAATAGCTCTGACGCCCAGTATCTTTTCAATACATTGTGACATTGATGGAAGAATCTTAGAACCAGTTTTAGCATAACATCTGTAGGCAAGGTTGGGCAACAGAGAATGTGTGTGACACTTCGATAATGTTTGATAATGTTGATGACAAACATAGCTCTATAGGCCAATCATGAGGGTCTGCAAATCTCTCTAATGTAGAACACTTTGAGTATATTTTGGATTTCCTTTCTCTAACTATCAAGATACTTCTAGGCAATGATTCTCAACATGGAAAACCCCTGGAGACTGTCGTCTGAATTAGTGATTCAGTTTCATAGAAAAAGAGGTGAGAGAAGTGATATGTACTTTGGGTCTTGTGTTCCCAGGACTCTGAATTCGGGTGGAGGAATTTATTTTTCGTATTACTTGCCGTTAACCAGTTTGGCTTAATCATCTACCTCGTGTTTGGGAAAGCAGATGTCCAAGAATGGGCTAAGGAGAGGACGCTCACTCGGTTGTGAAGGTAACAGACAAAGATTTCAGTAGAAGTGCAGTCACGGAGGCAGGACTTCAAATTGTTAATTTCCTGTCATTTTTCTTCCTTAGCTGTCCCGCCTCCAGTAAAGAAATCATTACACATGCTGGTTCCTATGTGGGAAGACTGCCATCAAAAATGACATCAGGTCCCCCTGTCCCTTTCATTCAGATTTCTTGTGAAGAAAATATAAGATGAATAAAAAATAAAGTAAAATATAGCAAAGAACCAGGTTGTCATCTTTTAACTAAGAATGTGGGTACGGACATTGTAGTTTCACAGAAGAGAAATGCAGTGCTCATGTGTCATGGGAGAGAGTCTGAGTATATCTTAGAAGCAGGGAAGTAGGGCTCATAGCAAGAGTCACATGGGCAGATCTTGCTACATGGAGCATTCTCCTAAAATTTCAGAATTCTGACGACTAGCCAAGTCATCATCTGTATACCACCCTTTATGGCAGCGTTAGGGACCAGAATAAGGCAGGGCAAGCCGAGATGGAGAGAAGAGAGGTGGAAAAATGTGTATGTGTGTGTGGGGGGGTGAGGTAGCTGCTAGAGAAGACAGAGGAAAGTGAGACCAGGTAGAGCACTACACAGAGAGTGCAGGAAGATGAACTCTGTCTGGAGGAGCGATACAAGCTGGCTGGGGGATGCTGAGTCAGCAGTGATGGTGAGATGGTCCAGTAGCCATGTGTGCCTGTTTCCTGCCTTGGCAAGCTGCCATCAGCCAGGCAACTTAAACAGTAGCAACTGTTATCTCAGTTCAGAAATTAAAGTGTTGACAAGGTGGGTTCTCTATGAGGACTGTAAAAGAGGACCTGTTCTCTACTTTTATTTTAGTTTTGTTGCAGTTTCAGGAATCCTTTGGCTTCGATATTGCCTTTTCAGGTTACAGGAGTTTTGGGATAAAAGCTCTACTTTCCAGGACTCTCAGAGGACTAGACTCCACCCTTTCTCCCACATGCCAATCAAAGAAATTATAGAGTGGAGGTAAACAACAAAGAGGAGATTAACTTGACATGGCCGCACCAAGGAAACAGTATCGTTAAGTCTGTCTTCAAGGTGCCAGTGGTCTATTGGTCGTTTTCTTAGTTCTGGTCCTTGTCTCCACCTCTGGAGAAGTTGTCCCTGCTGTTACCAATTGAGGGGAGTATCTGAGTCCCATGGAATGATGACACCTGTTCCAGGGTGCAGCCTCACCACCTGAGTAACTGGATTTATCTCATCTTACAACTCTTGGTGATGGAGTGTCACCTGAGAAGTTGTAAGATGAGATAAATCCTTTTCTCCCCAGGTTGCTTTTGGTCATGGCGTTTTAGTATAGCGCTAGTAACCTAACTATTGACCTCCATTCTCTTCTGCAGTTACTTTGAACTCCAGGATTACAGCATTGATGATAAACATCTTTATGACAAAAGACCCAAATTACACCTTGTAGGACAGATCACCTCTCCTAAATGAGGATAGTACCAGCGCAGAAACTCAAGGCAGAAACTGAAGCAGAAGCCATGGAAGAGTGCTCCTTTACTGGCTTGCTCTCTGTAGATTCCCTCATGCAGCTCTCTTGTACAACTCAGGACCACCTGCCCAAGAGTGGCACCACCCCCAGTGGTCTGGGTCCTCTGACATCAATTATTAATCAAGAAAATACCATACAAGTCTTGCCTATGGGCCGATCTTATGGAAGCATTTCCTCATTTGAAGTCCCTCTTCCCAGATACCTCTAGCTTGCATCATGTTGACAAAACAAACCAACCAGAATAATGACTAAGGAGACAAATAATTAAAGAGGCAAAGTCTGTTAGTCAGGCTGTGACTGGCCCTCTCCTTCACTCCCAGACTTCACATCATGCTCCCTCTGTGTGTCTGTCTGTCTGTATTTCCTGTTTTCATGAGGGTGCTGGTCCTATGGGATCCCATTCCACTCTAATAGTCTCATTTTAATTATTATTTGCAAAGATCCTGGGTCTTTGTGCTGGATAAAAACACACTTGAGGCTCTCAGCTGTAGATGTAACCAACTGTCTTATTAAAATAAAAAACACAGAACCAATGTAAAAGAGAAAGCCGAGAGGTCAGAGCTCAGAGCTAAAATTTTACCTCCTGCAATGCTCCTAGCTTCCCGAAAGAGAGCTGCTTCCTGTGTGTCTGTCTTTAAATAGTCTTTCTGTTCTGCCTTCTCATTGGTTGTAAACCCAAACACATGACTGCCTCGTCACTGCCTGTAAGTAACGCCCTCCAGGTCTTAAAGGCGTATGTCTCCAATGCTGGCTGTATCCCTGAACACACAGAGATCTACCTAGCTCTTCTACCAAGTGCTGGGATTAAAGGCGTGCGCTGCCGCTGCCACCACCACCATGTTTTTGCTATAGCTCTAATAGCTCTGACCCCCGGGCAAATTTATTTATTAACATACAATGAAAATCACATTTCAGCACAAATAAAATACCACCATACTCAGCTATCCCTACTTTTCTTTAACCAGCCTACCTACTGTTTCCACCAATGTATATGGAGTATCTGGATCTATGACTTTCTTTGTTCTGTTTCTGCAATGACTTAATGAAACTGCTTTCACATTAGAACATAGAACTTGGAGTAACTTAAATCTATGTTTCCAGGCCATGGTCACTTATATTTGGATCCAGAATAAAATGTGTCTTATCCTCTTTGAGGTTAGTGTTATGATTTTTATATCAAGAAAGTGAACACTAAAAGGTTTTGTATAATATTTAAGGGTCCAGACTTAAATTTATATGATTCCAGGGGCCCAGGAGAGACACTACCATTGGCTTGGGAATGAATCCAGTTGCTCAGAGCTCTTTAGTTCAATTTGTCTATTCCTCAGTCCTCATCCTTCAGTCACCAGTTCAATTCTCCAGTCTCTCCTTTCCTTGGTTCCTTTTTCCCTCTTCTCTTAGTTCCCTTAGTTCCAGTTCTCTTAGTTTCCCTAAATCCTAGTTCCCTCAATCCTTAGTTCCCTCCATTCCTCCCCACTTCTCCTGGGGCTGGTCTATATCCTATCCTAAACAGTAACACCTTATGTTTTATATACAGCACAAGATTGTAGGGGTCCTCTCTAGAGGCTTCCTGGCAATTTTATTTGCAACCCAAAAGGGGAGAGATAAGAGTGGAGTCAGTTAGCAGTTGAAATAAATCAGAAAGGGAATTTAAGTGCTGGAAATATATTCTTATTGTGGTTAAGTGAAGGCATTACGAATCTATTAACTATAAACTTACAGGTGATAGGGTAGGGAAAGTCTGTGTAGGTCACTAAAAGTTAAAACTGTCACTTTTTTCTTCTGCCACCAGTTTCCTGACAGGGCAGGGGAAGAGTACTGATAGCTAGTCAATCTGCATCACAGCTTGGTAAGAGGAAAGTCCTTTTTGATCTAAGAGGTTCTCTGGGGTGAGAGAGAGAGGGGGGAGGCCTTGATTTGTACAAGAAACAAAGGTTGTTCGTGTAGTTGGCAGGCATTTGGCCTGTGAGATGTGTAGTCTCAGAAAGGACATTTTATCTTAGTTCTGGGGGTTTTCAGGCATCTAACAGATGGCCTGGTAGCTATCTGTTCCTTGTTTGTCTTTAAAGCTTTGTTGGGGGTTGACTCGATCTTAGGAAGTAGCTCAAGGAGGGTATTTGCAAATGGCAGATACCCAAAACCAATGCTAAAGAGGGGGCCTGGAGCTCAGAGGCAGAGGGTTCTGTCTATGTGACTCTCTGGGTGCTTTGAAACAGAGATTCACGCACACATACACATTTTAGGAGAATTATGAGCACAAGGAATTCATAGAAAGGCACAACTGAATATTAAGCTGCATAACATCAATAGACCTTGCTGATTGGCTTCCCACTTGACTGGCCCTTGGCCTTGTCAAGGTATAGCTTACAATATACAGCTGGACTTCTAGTTCATATTCCTGTGGCTCGCCACAAAAAGGGAGGTAGATCAAGCAACAGAAATATTTTTACAAAGTTTAATTAAAATAAGGATATGGAAATATAGTAGAGGGGTTGTCGGGTAAAGGTCTGACCTAAGAAAGAAGGAAACAGTCCTTAAAGAGACTTTGAAGGAAGAAACAGTGGTAGAATGTATGAAAGAGATGATTCAAAGGCTAGTAGGACACAGCAAAGGCTCTGAGGCAGGAGATTGCCTTCATATAAGTATAAAAATTTTTCAAATATATAAACGTTCAAAACCAGAAGATGTCTTTTTTTTTCCTTTTTTGTAAAAGGCTTCTCACAACAATTGCTAAACTAAATTGGGTATTGAAAAGTAGATGCACATTTTCTTGATAGAGTCTCCTTGTTCCCTTTGATCACAACAGCTAGTGCTGACTTACAGGTGCAGCCTGGGAATGTTCCCTTCAGCATCATTGCCTGTTACACTTGCTGCCATTGTAAAGTCGTGACTGTTAAATAAGTGTCTCTGTGGAAATGAAAAATGGTTAAAACTGAACCAGTTGATGAAAATGACACCACCTTAGGTGCTTTAAAAAAATGGATTATGCAATGAACTATTTGAAGTTTAAGACAACAATTTTACCCTGCTTAGACAGTGGACAGACCCTTAAATGAGACAGATAGGGACTAGCAATCCTGACTAATCATTGGAATGCTCAGGGGAGCCTTGTGACTACTACTGTGGGAGAGCAGAAGGTATTTTGGTTCAACATGACTAAGTAGCCAGTGTTGGCTCAAATTTCAGGAGTCTGACCCTGAGAAGTTTATTTTAGGCCTGCTTAAGCACATTACAATTTGGTGAAAACTTTCCTGGTGATAATTAACTCGATCCCATGTGTTCAAGCACAAAGGTAAGCTAAATAAAGATTGAGAGGACCAAGCAGACACTATAATAAGCTGCTTGGTCTTCTGTCAGGGATCAGGCCTGCTGTGGGATGGTCTGTATGTCAAATGCTCTGATTGGTCAATAAATAAAACACTGATTGGCCAGTGGTGAGGCAGGAAGTATAGGCGGGACTAACAGAGAGGAGAAAGGAGGGAACAGGAAGACAGAGGGAGTCACTGCCAGCCTCCACCATGACAAGCAGCATGTGAAGACTCCGGTAAGCCATGTGCCACATGGCAAGGTACAGATTTATGGAAATGGATTAATTTAAGCTATAAGAACAGTTAGCCAGAAGCATGCCATGGCCATATAGTTTGTAAGCAATATAAGTCTCTGTGTTTACTTGGTTGGGTCTGAGTGGCTGTGGGACTGGCGGGTCACAA